CAAAAATCGTATCCTACTCCCTCAGGGCAGAGCGCCAAATGCCTCAGGAACAGAACAAGGTGGAGAAAATGATTTTTTTTGTTACTATTCCTAGAAACTATTTATTAATTCATTATGTGGTTACCCATGAATGATTGTGGAAGGAACAAAAGTATTCCCCCCTTTTGTTCCCAACTGAAGAGTTTAATCTTTCAAAGAAGAAAAAAATGACTTCAATAAGTTAATGCAATTTTAAAGAAGTAAGGAGAGGGTATTTTCTGTTCTTTCAGGGCTGTCTCCACATGAATCCTGCCGAGAGACTGACATGTGAGCAGCTGTTGGGGCATCCATATTTTGACAGCATCAGAGAAATAGGGGATTTGGCAAAAGAGCATGAGAAATCAACAGGGAAGACCCTAAGACAGAGCCGAAAGCACCTGCCGCGGGTAAAGATGGGGCACTGCTTTACAGAAGCATCCAAGGTTGTAATTTCAAATGAGCTCATACCTTCCACCTGGTGCAGAGAGTCTCAATCTATACTTGAGGTGGCAATTGTGGCTTGCAGCTCCAGCACCTTTATCCCTGCATGAGGACACACAGGTCACAAGCTCTACCAACCAGGGTCCCAAAGACATCTGCCTGCTAAGGTCCCTTCTCCCAGAATCCTAAAGGTGACCTTGCCCAGCAGCTTCCTGCTGCCAGCCAGGGGCCAGGGCTTTTGGTGTGCATGAGCACAGATCCCAGCCAGGGACAAGAAGCGTGCTTCTTATGCTTTGGAAAACGAAATCAAATTTATCCCGGTTAGCTCTCTGTCATCATGTTTACCTTCAGTATTGATTGACATTCCAGGTTTATCTAAAAAAGGAACTGTTTTCCTCCCTGATCCATTAATCATCAGAGTTGGCTAGTGTAAATGTGGTGATGAGTGCTTTCAGTGGGAGCAGCAGAACAGTGCATTTAACCAGATCACAGCATCCAAGCTGCACACTGGGAGCCTGTGGAGAATTGTGACTGGTGTAAAGTGGCAGAATGGCCTTACATTAAGTGTCTTGTCATAAGCCAAAAGCTGTAATAATTTAGGAGGGACTGTAGTTGGAACCACAATTAAGATGAGCTGGCTGCTCCTGGTTGCTTCCGGATCTGCTCAGGTACCCCTTAAGCTATAGATTATCTTGTCTTAGTCTTTCCCTTTGCAGCCTCCTCTGCCCAGTATGCTGAGTCGCACCTGGGTGGTGTTTGTGAGGTTTGGAGGAGAGAAGAGGGTGGACAGTCCATTATGAACAGGTACAGCATGAAACCCAGGGCCCTAAAAGACCAGAGTTATGAAATTAAGAATGTTTTTAATGCAAAACAGACTGGAAATAGACTTTCCCCTCAGAGTTACCCCTTATCTTGCTGTTTCTTTGTGTTCAAGAATCTTAGAACCCTTGAATTACAGGGGATTTTAGAAAACCTCATCCCTTCTTTTAAAGAAACTGGAATTAAAACTTTAAAAAGTGGGACTTAGGGCTTCCCTGGTGGCACAGTGGTTGAGAGTCCACCTGCCGATGCAGGGGACACGGGTTCGTGCCCAGGTCCGGGAGGATCGCACATGCCACGGAGCGGCTGGTCCCGTGAGCCATGGCTGCTGAGCCTGCGCGTCCGGAGCCTGTGCTCCGCAACGGGAGAGGCCACAACAGTGAGAGGCTCGCGTACCGAAAAAAAAAAAAAAAAAAGTGGGACTTCCCTGGTGGCGCAGAGGTTAAGAATCTGCCTGCCAATGCAGGGGACATGGGTTAGAGCGCTGGTCCGGGAAGATCCCACATGCCTCAGAGCAACTAAGCCCATGCACAACAACTGAGCCTGTGCTCTAGAGCCCGTGCGCCACAACTACTGAGCCCCTGTGCCACAACTACTGAAGCCCATGTGCCTAGAGCCCATGCTCCGCGACAAGAGAAGCCACCGCAACGAGAAGCCCGTGCACCACCACGAAGAGTAGCCCCCGCTCACCGCAACTAGAGAAAGCCCGCACGCAGCAACAGATTCAACGCAGCCAAAAAAAAAAAAAAAAAAAACTTAAAGTGGATTGTCAATGGCAGAAAGTGAGACTTGTAGCAGAGTTGTGACTAGAACCTCAGGATGAGCCACCTGCCCATAAATGCTACTGAAATAGGCACCAGTTAAAAAAAAAAAAAGAGGGTCTTGATGGAAATATTTTTACTTGAAAGACTAGGGGAACCCAACTAATTTGTGTGTTGCTTGTAGGTCACAATTGTTTGATTTAAAAGTACTTGTTTTTCAGATACCTAAGGCCATATAGTACTGTACAAAAAAAAATGTGTTCCCTTACTTTCATTTGACATTGACGATAAATTCAAACATTTTCTGGCAGCATGAAAGGAGCAGTTTTGCCTTTTTAACTAAGGTAGTAGGTGGGCAAATCACCTGAGTGCTCCAGACATCAGTTTTCTTCACTACAAGACAAGATACTGGCTTAAATGATCCCTAAGGTCCCAGCAAGCTCTTAACCCCCACGAATCTATGCTTTTTCCCAGTAATGTTAACATGTACATTTTCCTTTCTTTTTCATATTCTCTAAATTGCCTTTAATGTGCATGTTTTGCTTTATAATAGAAAATAAATATTGAAAAGAAAAAGCAGAGACCAAATTTATGGGAGGGGGTGAGCTCCACATCCTTCAATTCCACCCCTGAGCAGAGACCAAATTTAAACATTTTGTCCTTTCTCAGATCCTGGATTCTGTGCAGAAAAAGTATTTCTGTGCTGGAAAAGTTGTTTGTTTACCTCTTTTGGATGTGTTAGCAATAATGAAAAAAGTGTACGGCATTGAACGTAATTCTGTGTTTCATATTTTCAGTTGCAGTACCTACCTCAGCTGACTAGCAGCAACGTCCTCCCAGCTTTGGATAACAAGAAGTACTACTATAACACCAAGAAACTTAACTACCATTTTCCAAACATTTAAAGAGCTTGGAGATGGATAACAAAAAAAGAATTGATCATTAATTTGAATAAAACATATATTTGATTGAAAGCAATCACAGTGTTGAAAAAAACATCAGGAGAAAACATAACTAACTGGGGGAGGCCACTTGGCAAGACGTGAAGGGAAATTCCAGAGGCAGTGTTCCATGCTTGACGATGGTGTCCAGAACAGAAAGGAAAAACTTCTTTGGATTTTCACTTTTATTTTTGTTGTATCTAAGTAGCTGAGCTTATGGACAGAATATAAACTATCTACTGCACTCGCCCATACCTCCAGCAAAATTAGAGATAAAAAAATTTATGCTTCAATTGCACCATATGCAACAAGTGAAAAAATGGATTACAGAATGCCCATATATGTTTCTTTGGATCTCTGTTGCTTTGAGTCCTATCTCCTGCCTTTTCAGATTTTCTCATCGTATTTAAGGAGAGTTAAGGTTCTTGAAACCAAAATGTTTAAAATTCCATTTCCTGCTTGCTCTAGCTCTTGATTTTTATATATTGAAACTTTTTTGAATATATGAGATGTTTAAAATATTTAAAATCATATGGATTATCATAAAAGACTATAATTTACATGCTTATATATTTAATGATATGTTTATAGACATTTCTTACATATACTTTGGTCTTTACCTTTAGTAAAGGATGCATCTTAGTCATTTTTGCAGGCAAGATGGATTTACTATAATCCATCTACACTTGTTCACCCAATTCCCCTTGCAAACAATGGCATGAAGCTTGGCAGCTGACCCAGGGGTAGAACAAGATCCACAGGCTTCACAGGAACTGGGCCTGCCAGCCTGAAAGTAATTAGTACTTCATTCTCTCCAGCTCAGCCTCAGACTTGGAGACAGAGATACTGGCAGGACTATAGTGATCTGGGTTTTGGAAGAAACTGCTTATGAGCTTTTACTTGGGTCATAAAAGACATAAGGTTATAAGCTGATGTTTTCCCTGAAATATCTTTTTACTGTGTATGTGTGTATATCTGTAGTGCACACACATATATATGTGTGTGTATATACCAACCTAACAACTAAAAGTTAACTAATAAGAAAATAGACCAAAATGATATTATTGAGAATTCCTAGCTTTGTACAGTGATACTTAAAATGACAATATATAACTAGCTTTGATTTGGCCTATTGCTCCTATTCAAAAAGCTTTTTCATCCTTGTCCCCTGGACACAAGGGCAATATGAAGATGATGTCTGCTTCTTATTGCTCAACCCCATTTTTGATTGATGTGCTGCTATTTCCTAGCAGTCCTCAGCCACGGTTTTTGAAGATGTATTTTACTGTATCTTCAAAACCTTTCTTCTGCATTCTCAGTTTACTGCTATGTTAATTTTCTTCATGAGAGCATTTGACCTTATTCACTTACTGTTAAGTAATCCACCAAATTCTGGCATCTGTTCAATAATTTTGGCTACCCCAGCCAGTTTAGTGATATCCTGAGGCTTCCTAATGTATGTAGCTTCTTGCATAGAGCTGATAGCAGGTTAAATACTAGTCACAGTATAATCTACTTCTTGTTATGTAGACTTGATTCAAATGACAAAGAAGGACATCCAGCTTCTGCTAATAGTTTACATTTTGTGTTTTTCCTTTTTTCCTTACCCCCAACTGTGTACCTGACGGGGCAGATGACTGTAACTCCCTAATTTATTCAGTAGTTTTAAGGAATACCATTCAGAGTAGAAAAGTAGCTCCAGACTAACCTGTGGTCAATCAGTTGCTTCATCACATAGTAATCAAACAAGGCTGAGATAGAAGTGGTCATTTGTTTCTAATGAGTTCTATTAAATATATGCTTATACTTAATTTAACCATATCTGTGATCTTTTCTTCAGCATGGAATCACCACTGTTTCACATGAGACTGTTCTACATCCTCATCATTTTTTTATTTACTATTTTCTGAGTTTTAAAATGACAGTGGCAATTATGTTAGTAAACAGTACATCATTTATGGTATGTGCTATCTACATAAGCTGGTTCCTAACACAACTAAAATTCATTTTTCTACTTTAATGCTGCATCACAGAAAGTGTTTATTTTAAAATTAACTCCAGTCAAGGTTATATTCAACAGATTAATATTCAAACCAAACATACAGAAATCCACAAACAAGTTGGCATATAAACAACAATAATAGAATCAGGACCATTTGAAGCAGATAAAAATAAAGATCTGTTTATACCTATTTATGATATTCTTTATCACTGCTTTCTAGATGTAAAGTGAATTTAGTGCTTATACTTCTTATGATGTCCCTTGAGCTCATGGGAAGTACTATCCAACATATATGAGGGAATACAAATTAGTTTCTAACTGACATGTTAAATTTTTCTGTTTGAAGCAGTTTTTTAATTTAAGCAGAAAGTAAGTATAGCTCTGCTGGCCTTCATCATTGTTTCCTCTGTTCTATTGCAATCAGCAAAGCTATTTAAATCCAGCCAGGTATTTATGTCTAGTTTTAATAAGACACTAGACTAAGCCTACAAAATAGACAAATTAGCCAGAAACTGTTCATTCAGAGAAAGGATGTATGGTATAAAGAGCACAGGAATGCAGGATCATGACAAATGCATGCGAATCCTGGGAAGCAATATGAATGCCCCAGCAACGTCTGACTACTTTGCATAATTGACTCCATCAGTGAATCTGAAATTTAGCTTTCAGTTTTTCATAATTGTATATTTATAGTAACATGCTTCAAAAACTTTAAAGTAAAATGTAACAAATTACTGTTAAAAATAAAGAATATCTGTGTTGTACATTTAAATCATTTTAAAGAACTCTTAAGTATCTACATCAAGAGATATTTATATAGGATTGATATAAAATAAGGAATATATAAGAATTAAAATGGTACCTGGTTTGCATTTTTCTTAAAATGATTTAATGTACCTAAATTCTCACTTCTAACTTAGTAACTTTAGTGAATCACATCTGAATGTTTATTTTCTACATGATGGACTCTGCTAGAATGTTGTGGTATAACATTCTTATAGTTCTGTTGATGTTTATGTAATATTTGTTGCTGTTTAGGATCAACAATTGCACATGATACTTTATATTGAAATAAGACACTTACTGAATATTACTATTTTACTTCAAGTCTAATTTTAGTTCCAGAGAAGGCAGTGATGTTTTAAAGACTTGGACAATTTTTTCTTTTTCTTTTATGCCAGGAAGATCACTTAAAAACAAATACTTGAGGTTTCTGGAAGAGAAATTTTTTAAAGTTAATTTAATTTGGCCTTTACTCATAGCATTAAAAATAAACTTGCTTTATTGACTTAAAAAAGCTACACACAGAATGTGTTCATATCATCCTACACTTTCAAAATGACTTTTAGAACGGTAGTCTTAGAGTACTACTTCAAATGAAATTCATGCTAGGCACTAAGCCAGACCTTGGACAGTTTAGTTGTTCTGAATTACATCAATAATGCTGCTGAATTCTTCCAAACATTTTATGTATATTATGGCATAGAACTCCTTTGTATGTTAAATATAAAATATGACATCACTCATGGTGATGATTTTTTGCATCTGACACTAAAAGCAAAAACAACTAAAGCAAAAATAAACAAGTGGGACTTGTTTCAATCAAATTGAAAATCTTATATACAGCAAAGGAAACCATCAACAAAATGAAAAGGCAACCTACTGAATGGGAGAAAATATTTGCAAATCATATATCTGATAAGGAACTAACATCCAAAATGTATAAAGAACTCATATGACTCAATAGGAAAACCCCCAAACAATCCAATTTTTAAAGTGGGCAAAATATCTGAATAGACATTTTTCCAAAGAAGACATACAGATGGAGAACAGGTACATGAAAAGATACTCTACATCATTATCAGGGAAATGCAAATCAAAACCACTATGAGATATCACCTCACACTGTTGTTAGAATGGCCATTATCAAAAAGACTAGAAATAAGTGTTGGTGAGGATGTAGAGAAAAGGGAGTCCTTGTGCACTGTTGGTGGGACTGTAAATTGGTGCAGTCATATGTAAAACAGCATGGAGGTTCCTCAAAAAATTAAAAACAGAACTACCATATGATCCAGCAATTCTACTTTTCAGTATTTACCTGAAGAAAACAAAAACACTAACTCGAAAAGGTATCTGTACCCCCATGTTCATTGCAGCATTATTTACAATAGTCAAGATACAGAAACAACCTAAGCGTCCGTTGATGGATTAGGTAAAGAAAATGTGGTATATGTATACAATGATGTAGTATTCAGCCATAAAAAAATGAAATTCTGCTTTGGCAACAACTTGGATGGACCTTGAGGGCGTTATGCTTAGTGAAATAAGTCAGAGAAAAACAAATATTGTATGATGTCTTATATGTGGAAGCTAAAAATAAATAAATAAGCAAGCTCATAGATACATAGAACAGATTGGTGGTTGCCAAAGGCACAGGGTGGGGAGTGGGAGAAATGGGTGAACGGTTTCATGTTTTTGTTCTTAGTTTAGGTAAATTGAATTTTAAAAATATGAATCTTAACCTAGGAAGGAAAAGAAATTGGGAAAGTTCTTAAAGGAACCAAGTGTGTATTAAAAGGTGAAGCTTTAAAGCCTCAACTAATGTAAGAGATAAACAATCTAGTACTTTTGGTTCTAATGTTTAAGATTTCTCAGACTTCTGTGGTGCTGAGGTTACTGGCAGAACATAGGGGAAATTAAAAATAGGGAGGAAGTATAATAGCTAGTGCTTATTGAAAGCTTTCTGTATTAGGAACCCTGCTAGGTGCTTTATGTAGGTCAATTTTTTAAAAAGATGCTCCCTAAAAAATGCAATACAACCATAACATATTAAGGGTGATAATTTAAACTTTTAAAATATTATAGCTGACAGTTAAGTCATTTTCATAAATTATATTTTTCAGAATTGAAAAAAAGAGACCACCTCTCAACTGTTTTAAATTCCGATTATTCACCTTAACATTATCAAGTTTCCATTTTGGCACTGACCACCTACCTTAAATGATGCAAAGCAATGACACCTTTGTCTGTGACATTCCCACATGAAATTATTTCCATTTCCAACATGCTTTTTTGTAAATTTTCAAGTTGACTAAGTCTCTCCAAGCAGTCATCCTCAATATAGTGACACTTGCATAGCCTTATTTTTTCAACATGCTGTAGGCCTTCTGGGGGAAAAAAAGTACAGTTTAAGAACCTGCTTTACCATTAAGATGATCAACTATCCTAGTTTGCCCAGAATTGTTCTAGTTTTAGGATTGAAAGTCCTAAGTCCTAGGAAACCTCTTAGCCCCAGGAAAACAGTAACGATTAGTCACCCTATTAACCATACAAGGTATTCACTATACAGGTTGTGCTGATGGACAGGGCCATTCTGCAGTCAGATGCCCAATGCACTGGAGGAAAGAAATGCCCACACAAGCAGAAGCTGTGTGGATATAATTATTTCTACATTCGTGAGCGTTTCTCAATGACAGAAGTTTGACAAAGAAAATTTGACAAACAAGGCCTTGAATTTTAAGTCAATAAAGCACAGAATAAAGGCATGTAGAGACAAGCTTAGTGCAGGGAGAAAGGAGAGGAAGGTATTTGTAACCTCTATTTAATTTAAAAATAAATATCATACGCAGGAAGAAACAAGCTGGATTGGACTGAAAAAGGCAAAAAAGGACACACCTATGACTATAATAGTGAGTCAACTGCAACCAAACGTCACTGCAAATCACCTGCATTTCCCATAACAAATGATAGGGGAGTTACCCATGTGATCAAATCCAATGCTCATGATACAAGAATCAGTGGCATCAATTGCCTGAATCTTGTATTTGTCCAGAGGGCCTGTTGGGAGGTGGTTGTAGTCCTTCTGCCACCTCTCCTGGCCGTGGTAGCGCACCAGAGCCCCACAGCGCAGCAGCCACTCGGACGCTGCCCTGTCAGGGCCAACATCCCGGATGCGTTCATGATCCACTCTGTTGGCAAGAGAACAAAAGCCGGTAGCTTTTACTGTAGTCACTAGCTTCTTAACTATGTTCACCAAAGTAAATACAGAATAGCAACCACTTTTCACTTCACATGATGAGGAGGGAGATAATATATTAGTGAAATCCATGTAAAGAAAACATTCGATGGCTCTACCTGCTACCTTTTTTGCTTTTGTTTTTGTTTTCAAGTGAACTCTGTCAAGGCATGTTATTCTTATGTGAGTTTATCAGGCAGACATTGAGTCTTCATTGATTCGTATGTAGCACAATAGCTTCACACCAGGAGGTACTCAGTATCTATGTTTTGAATGAATGACTACACTTGGTTATCATTTTTATTAATGACAAAAGATTAAAAAGGGAATAATTTTGAACCTTTGTTCAAATGAATGTCATTAAGTGATATTCATTAATTTTAACATATGCCCTTTTCTCTAGTTAGTGGTATTAATGCTATATTAAGCAACAAGGAGGTTAGTTTTGCCAGTTTCAAAATGATATTTCTAAGCATGCCACCAACTTTTTATTTATTTTATTTTATTTTTTAAAATAAATTTATATATTTATTTTTGGCTGTGTTGGGTCTTCGTTGCTGTATGCGGGCTTTCTCTAGTTGCGGCGAGCGGGGGCTACTCTTCATTGTGGTGTGCAGGCTTCTCATTGCGGTGGCTTCTCTTTGTTGCGGAGCACAGGCTCTGGGTGTGTGGGCTTCAGTAGTTGTGGCATGTGGGCTCAGTAGTTGTGGCTTGCGGGCTCTAGAGCGCAGGCTCAGTAGTTGTGGCACACGGGCTTAGTTGCTCCGTGGCATGTGGGATCTTCCCGGACCAGGGCTCGAACCCGTGTCCCCTTCATTAGCAGGCAGATTCTTAACCACTGCACCACCAGGGAAGTCCCCCAACCAACTTTTTAAAACCTTGATTTCCCTTGATAGTATTCAAAAGGTTAACTACATCCCTTAAGAAGCCATAGAATAAAATATTCTAAAATTACATTTACTGAGCTTTTCTGATTACAAAAGTAATAAATGTTCATTTCAGAAAACTTGAAAGGCATTGAAAGGATGAATAAGAATCACTTAAGTCCTGTAACCCAGACAGTTAATAGTCTGTAATCTATTTTTCTGATCTTTATTCAGTGCTTGTATGTTTTATTTGCTTTAAAAGAAAGTTAGGATCGTACTGCATGCACGACACGAAAAACATTTGAAACACAAGAAATAACCAAATTAGCTACTGGGAACTCATCAAGCTGTAACAATTCCCACGTTTCTTCACTTTAGTTAAACTTACTTATTAAACACTGCATTCAACCAGCCCCAGAAGTATCGGGAGTCACGTGACCTTGGGAGTTTCTTTAAGCCACAGAACTGCTGGGAAATTTTTCCAAACAGCATCATTTGATCTAGACACATAAAACAGTATTCATATTAGATCATCAGCTGGGAATCAGAGTCCCATACATACGGCAACTGACTTTACAACTTCAGAGTCAGTGCTCTTGTGCTGATAAAGCTGATGACTCACTTGCCACTCAATAGTTATTAAGCAAGTTACTCCTGTCTGTTTTTTGGTTGCTTTTGCTGCAAAAATGAGAGGCTGAATTGAATGGTCTCTATGGTTCCTTCCAGCTTGGACATTGTTCTTTCTACTTGTTCACTCCTCAATTGGAGTCAGCCTGCAGTGGTGCCACCTGGTGTCCATGCAGGCAGTGCATCTACAAATTTACTGAAACCAGCTCCAGTCCCAATCTACATTTCCAGTACCAAAATGACAAACTAAAATCACCTAAGGAGCAATGTGTCAAGATTAAGACACTTACGTCCAGAAAAGGAGAGGAGTCGTGGAAACAGATCTTCCTATCACAAGGCTGCAAGTAGTGTCCCCAGAACAGTGCAAAGCAAGAGCTGTACAGGGCAGCTGGGAAAGACTGGGCAAGTAACTTCACCTCTCTGACCCTTGGTTTTCTCATTTGTAAAATGAGATTATTTGCTCAGATGATTTCCAGCTGTAAAAACCCATAACTATGAGTTGAAAAGGCGATTTTGGAATTGGGTCTCAACCTGATTTATCTCAATTCAAGTTTCTCTGATAGTGTGCCAGGTGGGGAGAAAACAAAGATAAATGAAACATGGTCTCTGCCTTTGAAGAGCTGACAATTTAATGCAGGGTGGAGTGAGCTAAAACAAGTTACCAGGTAGTTAAAATAAATGATAGAACCTGGAAAAGACCTCAAACGAGTTAAAGACACACAAGGATTTCAATAGACAAAGATGCCAGGAAATTGTAGGTCAGGTGATAAGCTGAGGCAGGAACCTTTAAGGCATGTTGTAGTTCAGTTGGCACAGCACATGGGGGTCATGAGAAGAGGAGGGAGACAATGTACACAGTCACATCGGGAAGGGTCTCCCATGATCAGCCAGAAAGTTTGTCTTCTGCAGGTGGCTAGGAATCATTGAGACTTTAGCACAGAGCACTGGCATGGTTAGAACTATGCTTCAGGAATATTAAGACAGCAGCATCAAGATTGAGGGTCATTTAGAGATGAGGAAACTTAAGCCCTGATAATAAGTAACTTGCTGACACCCTAAATCCTTTCTGGAACAAGGTGGGGTATTAATAAATGCATGTGTTTAAAGGGACCTGTCCAATGTTTCATGGTTAATTGTTAGCAGTGCTGAAACTGGAACCTAGTTTTCTCTCTTATTAGTCCAGGGCTCTTTCCTCAGTCATTGGATGGTTCTAGAACTCAGGAAAAAGAAGAGGACTAGAAAGAGGCCTGAGTGGGAACTACCTTAGAGCTGAGGAAGTGCCCAAGGATGTTGGGTTGTAAAACAAAGAGAGCTGAGGTCTGAGGACAGAACCCTGGGGCCATCTACTAGCCTCTTTATCCCTTCTCCATCATCACTCTGCCTTCATTACTGCAAACTTCTCCCCCTGCTACTTCCTCCCACATTCTCAGCCCTTTCCAGCTTTTGGTTAAATCTCTCTCCACCTGTGCCCATCTCAGTAACTCCTTTGGCTGCCAACCTTGTTTACAAATCTGGGCTTTCCAGCTTCAACTCAGGCTGTTCCCTCCATTTACCATCCCTCCCCGCCCCCCAGAATCCTATGGAAATCTTCCCCAGCCTCAAGACTTTACTCAAATGCCATCTCCATCCATCCATTCATTCATGCAATAAATATTGAATGTCTGCTATACTTAGTGCAAGAGATTCAATGGCAAGACAGAAGCAAAACAAAACAACACAGGAGAGAGACCGAGAAAAACATGGTTCCTGTCCTCATAGAATGTGTAGTATATATACCATATATGTATAGATGACATATAAACAAATGAATAACATGCAACACGATGTCTTAATGGAGGTATGGACATGTTCTGTGAGAGCTTAGAGAAGGGAGTGAGGGATAGGCTTCATACTAGAGGTGTCTTCTGAGATGGGTCTCAAAGGATGATTAAGAGTTTCCAGTTAGGCAGAAAAAAGAAAAGTATGAAGGGCAAAAGAAAGAGCAAGAATCACATATTACTCATTTCCATTTTTCTTAGCACCTAGCACAGCACCATTCCCTAATGCAAGTTTAATAAATATTTGGCAATTAATAATCTTCAATGGGTGATACATTTTCATGCAGAAACCAAGGAAACTCATTAAGTGGGTAAATTAGAGAGGTTTGTGAAAATTGAAGTACTTTCACTTGATTCATTTTGGCCCACCTTGTATTTCTGCTTAAGGGAAAGATTAAACCAAATTTACTTCAGCTTATGATCTCTAAAAACATTAGATATTATATTTAAAATAATTTAAACATGAAAATTAAGTTTTTATTTAGCAATAAATTAAAAAAACTAATTGGTAGGTTTTTGCATTCTCAACTGCTACTTTGTTAATTGATATTAGGAATTTCAGATGAATTCAAGCAGCTACCTCTGAGAATGCTTTCTAGAGGGAAAGAGGAGACCTCTGGTGGTAAGTTGATGAATTTAGCTTTAATAAATTAAACAAGTGAAATGCAAGTTAAAAAATAACCACTACTAAATTACCGCTGTGATAAATAATTTAGGAATTAAAATTATTTTAAAAATTCTTCTTACTATCATAACACAGCTTAGAGCCATAAGTTTGTAACAGATGTTTCTAAAAGTTGCTATATGTTCACGACTTAGAGAAGACCAGACCTCTAATGTGTGACTCAAAATAGGATATGGAGAGTCCCCCAATTTGCATATAAACAAGTTTTTTTAAAAAAAATGGAAGTTCTTTTTTTACATATGAGACATAATTACTTAGGTGGGCTATTCAAAACGTTGGCTATTTTAGTGGTCAAAAAGACTGAACTAGCCAACTCGTTCTTGAGGGCAGTAAAAGTGTGAAGAGAGGGGTGGGTGATGTCAGAACTGGGGCATTTTTACTCCCCAAATTATAACCCCACTTCACTGCAAATTCATCCATTATTGATGCCAATTCTTATTCCTGAGGTGTCTAGAGTCTAGTGAAATAGAACAGCAGAGCAATTGCTTAGGAATGAGAAGCAAAGTTTCCAAAAGCCACTCTTAGGCTAATATTGCTTGACACTCATTGAACTAATTTCACATAGGTTCTGACCTAGATGGAAGATGAACACGAATTCTTAGCTGAGGAGGGTGGTGGCTAGAACACAAATGTCTCTAGCCAAAGACATTACAGGGTGAATGAATGTAAGGTGAGCTCTTGATGTGAGATTATCTAAATGAAACAAATTAATGTACAGTCAAGCCTAGGGGAGTAGGTAAGCAGAGAAAATTTTACAAAAAGAGCATGTGTATTTTGAGTTCTTTCACTTTGCTAAACTCAGAAGCACGTGCTCAAAATCACAGAGTAGTAAAAAAGTCACTATTCTGGGCTGACCCATGAAAGCCTGACCACAGACCCTAGAACTGTATAATTCTGTACTCAACCTAGTAACAAATCAACTACATCCCATGCAACGGTTAAAATAAAAAATAGTGATAGTACCAAAAGTTGGTGACACTGAAGAGGAACTGAACTGGATCACTCAACATTGCTGGTGGGAATGTAAAATGGTGCAGCCACTTTGGAAAACACTTTGGCAGTTTCTTACAAAAGTAAACATGTGCTTATCATATGACCCAGAAATTGGACTCTTAGGCATTTATCCCAGAAAAACAAAAACAGGCTCGCACAAAAAGCTGTACACTAATTTTCATAGCAGCTTTATTTGAAATAGCTAAAAACTAAAAGTAACTCAGATGTCCTTCAATGGGTGAATGGTTAAACATGCTGTGGTACATCCATACCATGAAATACTTCTCAGCAATTAGAATGAACTATCAATACATGCAACAATTTGGATGGATCTCAAGGGATTATGCTGAGTGAAAAAGTCAATTCCAGAAAATTACATACTGTATAATTCTGCTTATGTAACATTCTCGGCATGACAAAATTTTAGAAAGGGAGACTAGAACGGGGAAGAGGGTGCCCTGCAGGAGAGAAGTGTAGTTATAAAAGGACAACCGAGGGATCCTGGTGGTGATGGAACTGTGCTGTAGCTTGCCTGTGGTGGATACAAGAATCTACACATGGGGAATTCCCTGGTGGTTCAGTGGTTAGGACTCTAAGCTCTCACTGACAAGGGCTGGGGTTCAATCCCTGGTCGGGGCACTAAGATCCCAAAAGCCCGACGGCGCGGCCAAACAAAACAAAACAAAACCTGCACATGTGATAAAAACTATACAGACCTAAATACATGCACAAAGGTAAAACTGCAGTTATCTCAATAAGATCCATGGGCTGTGTCAATGTCAATTTCCTGGTTGAGTTATTGTTCTATTCTTTTACAAGATGTTACCATTGGGGAAGACGGGTAAAGGGTACACAGGATCTCTACTGTTTCTTACAACTGCATGGGAATCTACGATTAGCTTAAAACTAAAAAGTTGAACTAAAAAAATAACCATTTCTTATTTTTTCATTTGTGATGAACAAGCAGGCAACATTCCACATTATTTTCGCAAATAAAGAAAATATGTACAACTGTCCAGGTGATAAAACCAATATAAACATAATAAAAGCCATCATTTTATCGAGCACTTTACTGGGCTAACATCTGATGAGCCTTATCTCGTGTAATCCACATGAAGGAGATCCTGCTATTACTCCTAGTTCACAGAGAAGGGTCTGAGGCAAAGAGGTGAAGTGACTTCCCCAAGCTACCCGACTAATAACTGGAGCCAAATTCACACAGGCAAGAATAAGTCCTTCCAGCAATAAAGTTAAATGATTCTATTTTTGTTCAGCTGTCCTGACCCTAAAAATTAAAAAACTTCCATCAAGCAGAGAGAACAAATGTTAGTTAAACATGGTGATAAATGTTAGTTAGGCATGGTGATAAAGGATCACGTAATTTAACACAGGTTTTTCATACATTACATGGTCCACTTCCCTCATTTTACAGATAAACAGGGGTGAAGTGACCTGCACAGGTGAGTCGCTGTTCCCAGGCCCGCACAGCATATTTAAAAGTATATCTCGGTCCAGGATTTTTTAAAAAAGGAAATAGATTGCTAAATGATGTCAGAGACCGAGACGTCTGGTTCATTTAGGTGCTCAATATTTACAGGACCAACAAATGAATGAATGGCACGTCAGGAGCCACATATATGGAAGTCCAGAAGACTGCAGGCTATCAGGCGTTGCCATGACAGAGCCTCCGTCCGGAGAGGGCTAGGGCTGGACAGCGAGCGCCCCTCCAGTGGCCACTCCACTGGGTGGGAGCCGGGTTGGAGATCGCGGTGCCCTGAAAGGAGCCTCGAGCGACGCGGGGCGGGGCTGAGGGGGGCGGGGTTGAGAGGGGCGGAGCCTCGAGTGACGCGGGGCGGGGTCGAGAGGGGCGGGGCCTGGCGGGAGGAAGGGAGGCCGCTGGGCTTGCCCAAACGACAGTTTTCACCATAATCATCCCGACTTTCTTCCGCGGCCCCGAGTCCGCTCGGCGGTGAAGATCGAGGACGCCCGACTCGGTGGGCCAGATTTTCAGTCAGCCTAGCGATGGGAGAAGGGAAAGGGCAGAGGCTAACCACCACCCTAGACCCGCCCCACCCGGGGCCTAGCTCCTCTACTCACAGCGTCAAAAGGAGGGAGCAAGCTAGCGTCCCCAGCGTCTACGGCGGCGCCGGCTTGCCCTTCGCCCTCCGCCGCGCGAGTCCATTGGCCACTGGCGGCTGCTCTCACGTGGGGCGAAAGAGCGCCCCTCATTGGCCTCTGCCTGGGGGCGGGGCTAGAGAGCGCCTGGACCTGGGCAGAGTAGGGCTCAAGGGCCGGCTCCTGGGGCTTGAGGCAGGGGAGGAGGCGCAGGCGATGGTGCCAGCGCTACGTTACCTAGGCAGTGTCTGCGGACTGGCCCGCGGGGGGTTTCCCGGGGGCTTCTCCGCGGCGTGCGCGCCCGCGCCGGGGAAGCCCTGGCTGTTGTGCCAAGGTGGCCGCAGAGCCAGCACCAGGTGAGTAGCCGCTGGCCCGACTCCCCGCGGTCTGCGCTGCTTCTCTCAGAGGTGCCTCGTGCTGGACCTCTGCCCTTGCGCTACTTTCCTGTCCTCGGCGTGGGAGAGGGTCGGGATCCTGTGAATCCCGGGCTCCAACCTATGGTGCCAGGAGCTACCTGCTTGGATCATCTGTAGGTTTGTGGGCGAGAGGAAAAGAATAAGAAAGGCAGTGTTGGGTAGAGGTCAAGAACAGTTCTGGCTCTGAATACCACCCCACCACTTCCTATTCAACTCTGGGCGGGTTAGTTAAGCTCCTTAAAAGCTCAGTTGTGAATAGGATCCTAGTCTTTCGCGTTAAGTGGTCGTTTTGAGGATTAAAGGACCTAACACACTGTAAGCAATCAAATATGCTGTTTATTCGCTGGCCTTCCTGATGTTACTTGGAAGATCTAAAACCAGTCTTATATCAATCAGTTCCTGGTACACGCATGCTGCATAGAGTTGCCCCTGTGAGAAGCAGCTCAGTTAGTTGCTAATTAAACCCTGCAAAATTCAGCGCCCTGTGATTTGAAGTTTGGAGACCACATTCGCCACTACTGTTTTTCTCTGCTCTCTGTAGAGGGAATGGTTTATGCGAAGGTTTCAAAGCTGGAAAGGTCTTGGCTGTTTCGGGAACTAGAATGTGGGCAAGATGAGTGTGACTAGAGCTTAGCGGAGCAGAGATGGTGTGGAATGACATCGGAGAGGGGCTACATCACAGCACAGTTTCTGTTTTAAATACACGTGAAGTTTTATTCTAAGAGCACTGGGAGGCTTTTAAAGGGTTTTAAAGAAGTGATTAAATGTTGATGTTTCTGAAGTTGATTCTGGCTGCTGTGTATTAGTGGATTGGAGGGGGATTAGAGTGGGATAGGATTTGTGATTCATCGTGGGGGTTTGTAGACAGCTCTTTTGGGAACCTTTTTTTAAGGGAAGAAAGGTAAGGTTAGTGAAGGTTTTGTTTATACTTTTTATTTTTCCTTTTTATACTTTTTATTTTGAAATGATTATAGATCCATAGGAAGTTGCAAAAGAACAGAGAGCTCTCATGTACCCTTCTTCACCCAATTTACCCCAGCAACACCTTACATAACTGTAATAACAGTATCAAACCAGGAAATTGACATTAGCACAATCCACCGGCCTTATTCAGATTTTCATCAGTTTTAGAAGTTTTGCACTTGTTTGTTTTTTTAAATTGCTTTACTACTTATAGACCTTTATTCTATATAACATTTAGTATCTTAAAATATTATTTTGAAAATATTATTGAAATTAGGTAGATTTGGGGGAGATTTACTTCTTTATAATTTTGAGTTTTCCCATCCATGAACTTGGCATATCTTTTCATTTATGCATACTCATTTGTTACTTAAAGTTTATTTATTTGTTGATTTTTTTGGCTGCATTGGGTCTTCATTGCTGTGCAGGGGCTTTCTCTAGGTGCGGAGAGCAGGAGCTACTCTTTGTTGTGGTGCGCGGGCTTCTCATTGCCGTGGCTTCTCTTGTTGCGGAGCACGGGCTCTAGGCCCGCGGGCTTCAGTAGTTGTGGCGCACGGGCTTAGTTGCTCCGCGGCATGTGGGATCTTCCTGGACCAGGGCTGGAACCCGTGTCCCCTGCATTGGCAGGTGGATTATTAACCGCTGCGCCACCAGGGAAGTCCCTCATTTGTTATTTAATAGAGTTTAAAATTTTTCTCTGTGAAGTTCTTTTTTCTTAGGTTAATTCTTTGATTCCCTTATTACTTTGTTGCTACTGTAAATAGTATTTTATTTTATATTATTCTTTCAGTTGGATCTTACTGGTATAGAAGATGCTTCTTTGTACTTCTTATCCAGTTTTGGAACCTGGTTCATATGTGCTTCATAAAATGAGTTAGGGAGTTCTCAACCCTTTAAATTTTTCTGGAATATCTTTGATGATAGAGATTATCCGTTCCTTGAAAGTTTGGTAAAATGTATGTGTGTGTGTGTTTAGGTAGAAAGCTTTTGATGACTATTTTAATTTATAGTGATTGATTCAAAATTTCTATTTCTTTATGCCTCAGTAATTTTGCCCGAGGAGTCCCCCACCCCATTTCATCTATGTTATCAAATTTATTAGCATATAGATCTCCATGATACTCTTTGATTATGTTTAAGATCCTTGTTGTGTCTTTACGTATATTTTCTTTATTATTCTGTTTTATTTATTTGTGTCATCTCACTTTTTCCCCCATTACTCTTGCCAGAGGTTTGTCTACATTATAAATCTTTTCAAATAAAAGATTTTTCTTCTTTATTATATTTTGTTATATATATGTTTTATATATTATATATACATGTTTATATATGTTTGTTTTTCTTTATTATATTTAACTTCTTGAGTTGTTAACTCATTGATTTTTGGTCCAGGAGTATTTTTAGGAGTGTCTCTTGCATGTTAAAGTTCCTGTAGCCTTGTTTACCCAAGAATATCTTTATTGAATCCTCATATTTAAATGGGATAGTTTGGGCTTCCCTGGTGGTGCAGTGGTTAAGAATCCACCTGCCAATGCAGGGGACATGGGTTTGAGCCCTGGCACCGAAGATCCCACATGCCGTGGAGCAGCTAAGCCCATGTGCCACAACTACTGAAGCCCACACGCCTAGAACCCGTGCTGCACAACAAGAGAAGCCACGACAATGAGAAGCCCGCACACCGCAACAAAGGGTAGCCCCCGCTCAACGCAACTAGAGAAGGCCCGTGTGTAGCAACGAAGACCTAAGACAGCCAAAAATAAAAACAACTAAATAATAAATTAAAAAAAAAATAAAAGAGATAGTTTAACTCTAGGTTAGAAGTCCTTTTTTTCTCCTTGAAAATAATGCTCCATTGACTTCTTGATTTCAGTGTCACAATTTAGAAATCTGATTTCAAGTGAATTCATGTTTCTTTAAATTTATATTTTATATTGGAGCATAGTTGATTAACAATGTTGTGTTAGTTTCATGTGTACAGCAAAGTGATTCAGTTATACATATACATGTATCTATTCTTTTTCAAATTCTTTTCCCATTTAGCTTATTACAGAATATTAAGCAATGTTCCCGGTGCTATACAGAAGGTCCTTGTTGGTTATCTGTTTTAAATGTAGCGGTGTGTACATGTCAATTCCAAACTCCCTCCCTCCCCCGACCCTGCCCCCTGGTAACCATAAGTTTGTTCTCTAAGTCTGTGAGTCTGTTTCTGCTTTGTAAATAAGTTCATTTGTATCATTTTTTTTAGATTCTGTATATAAGCAATATCATATGATATTTGTCTTTCTCTGTCTGATTTACTTCACTTAGTATGATAATCTCCAGGTCCATCCATGTTGCTGCAGATGACATTATTTCATTCTTCTTAATGGCTGAGTAGTATTTCATTTTATATATGTAGCACATCTTTATCCATTCATCTGTCGATGGACATTTAGGTTGCTTCCATGTCTCGCTATTGTAAACAGCGCTGCAATGAACATTGGGGTGCATGTATTCTTTTGAACCATGTTTTTCTCCAGATACATGCCCAGTAGTGGGATTGCTGGGTCATATGGTAGTTCTATTTTAGTTTTTCAAGGAACCTCCACACTGTTCTCCATAGTGGCTGTACCAAATTATATTCCCACGAACAGTGCAAGAAGGTTCCCTTTTCTCCACACCCTCTCCAGCAGTTATTGCTTGTAGATTTTTTGATGATGCCCATTCTGACTGGTGTGAGGTGATATCTCATTGTAGTTTTGATTTGCATTTCTCTAATAATTAGCGATGTTGAGCATCTTTTCTTGTGCCTGTTGGCCATCTGTATGTCTCCTTTGGAGAAATCTCTATTTAGCTCTTCTGCCCAATTTTTGATTGAGTTGTTTGTTTTTTTGATATTGAGTCACATGAGCTGTTTGTAAATTTTGGAGACTAATCCCTTGTTGGTTGCATCATTTACAAATATTTTCTCCCATTCTGTGGATTGTCTTTTCATTTTGTTTATGATTTCCTTTGCTGTTACATGCACTCATTTTTGTGTGTGTTACTATGCAATTTAACAGCATGTGTTAATTTGTGTAACTGCCACCACAATTAAGAAACAGAAATGTTCCATCAATACAGAGATTGTGTTACCTACCCCTTTATATTCACATCCCATTTCTCCACCCTTTCTAACCTTTGGCAACCACGAATCTATTTTTCAGCTCTATAATTTTGTCAGTTTGAAAATGTTATATAAGTGGAATCACACAGTATGTAACCCTTTAGATTGGCTTTTTTCATGCAGCATAATGTCCTTGCGATCTATCTAAGGTGTTGCCTGTGTTGATAGTGGGTTCCATTTAATTGTTGAGTAGCAGTCTATGATATGGATGTATTGCAGTTTGTTTAACCACTCCCCAGTTGAATGGTATCTGGGCTGTTTCAGTTTTTGGCTATTATGAATAAAGCTGCTATGAACACTTATGTACAGATTTTTGTAGGAACGTAAGTTTTCATTTCTCTGGGATAAATGCCAAAGAGTGCAGTTGCTAAGACATGTAGTAAGCACATGTTTAGTTTTTTAAGAAACTGCCATACTGTTTTTCCAGAGTGGCTGTACTATTTTACATTCCTACCGGTAACATGTGAGTTGATC